CAGTTTGTGTGTTGTATGACAGCCCTTTGATTGGCCGCTTCCCCTTCCTGAAAATTGTATTATTGTGTATTCAATAGAAAGAAGTAAAACTGAAATATATATATATATATATATATATATATATATATATATAATGCCGGTGGATGACTTCGCTCACATAAGCCTAAGCCGCTGGAGATTGTGACCCGAACGGAAACATTTCGAACAATAGTATCAACCGTTTACACAGGACAACAATTCAAACGCAGTAACCAGCACAAAATTTCTTCACATCTGAAAGACAGGTGAGATAAGTGGACAGGTCTGAAAAGCGAAACGTACTCAGCGGTGTTGCAACCTTTGACACGGTTGAGAAAAACCATGGCCGCTTCACGATCAAACAGACGATCACGAACCCAGCACAGTTCCAGGGGTGAACCTCCGTCAATCGCAGCCAACTACATACGAGTGCGCGCGCGCGAGAGAGAGAGAGAGAGAGAGAGAGAGAATACGGTAAAGACAGAGCGTCGATGGGAGGAAAGGGAAGGTTCCGAAAATACAAAAATGACCGACCAAAAAACCGGTCGAACACATGCGAATTCAATCTATGTGAGCGGTGTGCGCGCAAACACATGCCCGGAGTAGTGAATGCTAAAGTGTGAACTGAACGCACTTTCATGCAAACGTGAAGTCGAAGAAAGACAGAAAAGTTGAAAGCAGAGTAGAAGAGAAAATGCAGAATGTTAGTGGCCTAAAGTTACAAAGAAAATGAAACGATGCACGAACACCGGTGCTTACGACACTCAGCCATATAACTGTGTCTCCAATCACGGATGACTATGATCCCGAGGTCCCCGTCCAGGAAGCGAGAAATGGAACAAGAAAACAGATGACCTGATCGATATATCCCTGCTCTTGTTGCCGGGATGAGTAGGAGAGTCTGTATGTGGATACTGGTCACTTGAATTGAACGACACCNCCCGCCGGCAAAATACAAACGGCAAAGAATTAAGTTAACCGTAATCCTGACTAACCACACACACACGAACACACACACACATCACAAGGAAGGAATCTACAGCGGACAAGATGGATCGATACGACCAATTCAAGACTTCCAACATTGATGAAGATAAACAATAAAGACTCTCGATGCATAAAAATGAATTATTGAGAAAGAATGGCTTTGGGCAAACCGGCCTGAAATTTCACAACGAACTGCTTTCCTCGCCTCACCGGGGAGCGTGGGTTTGTAACCCACCCAGAACGATTGACTAGTTTCACAACTAGACTACGGTAAGACGATCACCCAACACTGCAACAGGAAATGATGGATTTGTCACGTGACATTCTTTTGGTGACATTGTTACATGAGATTACGCGTCGATGCATAAAAGATTTCACTGGAATGAATGAGAAGTGGAAGACGAAAAATGCATTTGAAGGGGTTGGCGGGGGGAGAACAGGTGACGCTTACATTGACTTTAATACGCCAGAAAGATTCGGGCTTAAATGACTGGATTCGATCATGACGTTTGACACAAAATCCCAGGGTGGGTGTTTGACAAGGGCCGTAAGAGACCAGATTGCTGTTCAAGTCGCCGTATTTGCCCTGTAAACGGGAAATCCGTGCATTAGAGTGATGTGTGGAGTATGGACAGGCATCAATAAGGAGAAGCCTAAAAGGTTGGATGATAAATAACCTATAATCTAGACTGAAATTCATTTCACTCGGGAGGGAAAATTTCAATAGGAATCCGAGTAGCACTGAACCAACACAGAGAGTTCCTGTTTACGGATATATGACTTTGAAAGTCCAAGAAGGAACACGAGAATTTGAATGTTTTCCGAATGACACAATTCGCGCGTGTTGGAACAAATTAAACATATGATATGAATAAATGACGGAAGCTTGTGTTGTAGATTCAATAGATCACAAACAAAGCATGTGTGCATAATTCAACATTGGGCATTACCATTCTAGACGTGTACAACTGCTGAGCGACGTTTAGAGCTGTAGTGTCTTGTTCAGTTCCTAGTCTATAACCCGGACATGCACAATTCGAACCTGGGACAGTCGTAAACTGTGTTACAACAAGAATCGGGATTTTATCAGAACTAGTTTTACTCTCGATTCACTATTTGCTAACTTAACTGGTTACGTACCAGTTGAATAGCCACCTCTACCTTTCCCTCTCTCTCTCCGAACGCTCCAAACATTTTCGCGTGCAAGTATGTTAATGACGTGGTGATTGTTCGTCACTCGACTGGTCCTGACGGTTTCCACCAACTTCAAAACTGCCTCAACCAAATCCTTAGTTCGTCCGCGCCTCGATCTCGGATGCTCGATGTGAATGAATGTATGGACGTTCCTTTGGGCCTTAAAACAGACACTCATTGTCAAACTCTTTCTCGTGACCAACTGGAACTCACTGTTAACAATACTATCATTCCTAAAGCTTACTCTGTCAAATGTCTAGAAGTTACCTTGTGATATCACTTTTCTTGGTCCAGACATGTTGAAAACATTAATATATTTATTATTATATTTCTAAGCTTTCAAACTTAAAATATCTGCCGTTCTCCCTGATCGTATTCGTACATTTATGAAAGCCTACACTCTTTCACACTGGTTGTATTGTTTCCCGGTCTAAAGGAAAAGGACTTTGTTGTCTTTTCCAGATCCAATAAACTCTTTTTCTCACTGCAGTAGCAGTTCAAGGCCATTCTGGTTGATTTCATTGCGTGCATGCATTTCGATGCATGTGATCCATTTGCCAGCCATATACTGTCAAAAGCAAAATACGCCTGTCTCAGTAAATTTGTGACTCGTCCAAGCACTTGTGCCAAATTTAGGATTCCTCGTGAAGGTACAACCACATGCCGAAACCACATCATCCCTCAACTTGTCCGTATTTTAGTAAATCGAATAACTGTCATAACTGACTGGACAAGTTACTGATCACATTAGTTTTTTATCAAATCCCTTTATTTCCCATTTGTTAAACGTTTCATGTACACGTTTTCTTCACCATAACTTGTCAAGAGTTGAAAATCCACTCTGTCGGATGCATAGAACTTAACTTGACTTGACTGGAATAGCATTTAGGTAAAATAAGTAACCACGTACGAAATGCATAACAGACTAATCGATGCGGGCGTTTAATGCAAATGTAGCGGCTGATAGGATAACACCATTCCTACCACCGTGTCAAAAAACAAAAAAATGAGTACAAAGCATAAGTGATGCATCGAACCTGGAAGAATTTTGTCTGGAATCGTGTAAATGCGCAACCGATACGCAAATCCAACTCCTGCCTTGCGTCCACAGACAGGGCCTCATTTTTATTCGGACTACGAAGATCCCGCATAGCCCCATGGATTTCCTGATCCGTCACAGCACTGAAGTGTGCTCGAAATATGCGTTTCTATAAACGGGGAACGAAACAAACGGCGTTAGGAGAGAAAGTATTGCTTTTATCTACAACGGTTAGTTTGTTTTAGTTATTTGAATAACTGCTTTACAAGGTGAATCGATTCCCCGTTCACTTCCAACTTTCGCCTGTTAACTGATTCATTGTGCAAACGCTCAGTCTCATCTTTGACATTAATGCTTAGGATACTTTTGTACAGGATTCGAGAGGGTTTTATGAACAGAAGCACTTTCCGGTTAAATTATACTCGCAGTAGTGTCGATTACACACTTTGTCACCCAATTCGATATTATCCCTCTCATGGCTGGAGAACAGGTTCCTAGTTCCCATGGTCCGCACCATTTCGAACTCGCCGGTTGTCATAATTTCACCCACCTACTTCACACCGTGTATCAC